CATCTAGTGGGCTACGCCTACCAAGCTTAGCCCACGATATGCTGTATCGCTTTCAACCTAGCGACCAACCTAGAGACAACAAGCTATTCACTCTTTCGCAGGCATGGGCCCCTGGGCCTGAGCTGCCATAACACACTGCCTATTTAGAAGAACCCAAATAAAGCAACAAGCTTCCGAAGCCTTATCATTGATCCCCACTTGGATACATGCATGAACACTGCTATTATAGATTAGAACCTGATCAACCAGGCTGTTACTGCTGGCTGCACGTAAACCGACATATGGACCACAGCCCTGCTGGTCAGGTACTGACTTCAGGTATCTGTCCAACTGTTTCTTGAAGACAACCAAGGGATCTATTGGTAATCCCTTCTATGTATGTTGGGAGGCAGTTGAACAATCTTGAGCCCTTGACACTTATTGTGTTCTTTCTTGGTGTACTCGTGGTGCCCCTACTTTTCAGATGTTGCATCTCCTGCCGAGTCTTTTGCTTTCATAGGAAATAATTTTCGCGTGCAGATTTGAGACTGGTCCCTCTAGGATTTTCCATTTGTATATTATCATGTATCTTTCTCGCCTGCATTCCAGGGAGTACAAATCAAGGGACTTCATGGAGCCGTTAGTGTACAGGAATATTCCAGCCTAGAGAAAACAAGCGATTTGAAGAGAATCATCATGGGCTTGGCATCCTTAGTTTTGAAAGTTAACTTTATACATCCTATAATTTTCCTAGCAGATATGGTAAATGCATTGCTGAGATCTTTGAAATTTGAGATTCTCTGACATTATCACTCCCAGGTCTTTCACATTAGTTTTTCGGTCTATTGTGTGGTTAAAATCTATTTTATAACTCCGATACGGTTTTAATTTCCTCGACTTTTCCATAGTGGAATAATTAGAATTTGTCTTCATTGAACTTCATATTGTCTTCTGTGGCTTATTTAAAGATTTGGTTGATGTCCGCTTGGATGTTTCAGGGATTCTTTGATAGTGAGGAAGGACAGATAAACGGTAGTGACGGTTTTCAATATGACTTTTTATCCAAAGAATTGTACTAGCCGCCTAAGCTGCATATATTCCTAATATACAAATTAAATCAAATGTAAATGATCTTTACTGGAGAAGCAATAGACTAAATTAACCCTGGCATAAACTTAAAATAATAAACATCTACAAGTTACCTGGGTATACAGCCATTTATAACTGTAGATTAGATCACAGGGGAAGTTAGGTTAGGTAAGGTTTGTCAGGAAACAGGACAAGTGTTTCCTGACGTGAGTCTCAGTCATGTGATGACGCGCATCTGGAACTTTTGGTCATCTGACCGAGACTTTCAGCTGGCTTACCGGTCCACCCCTTTAAAAATTATGGTTATAATTGCAACCATTATTTTTAAATTATACAGCCAGAAACAGCTGCCAAGGTTCCTTTCTTTAATACTGATGTTACTGGGGTAACTTCAGTATTACTCACTTAAAAACAAATCTGGTAACTTTAGGGAGTATGCCACCATTCATATATGAGAAAGCTGCCCATGTGTTATAACCTATTAGTGCAACTCTGTTGAATAAATCTGTTTAAACCATAAGTTTCTCTAATATAAGTAAGGTTTTTCGTGTAACCGAACCAATACATAAAGCTGGAGACACGCTTGAAATCAACACTATAGACCAATCCGTAATTTGCCACTACTGTTAAAAATGTTTAAAATATTATATATTAACGAAAATATGGGTGAAGCGTTGGCATACCTGAACTCTTGCCAATCTAGTTTCTGGCCTGGGAAAACTACTAATGATTCTATCCTGAGGATGCTAAAGTCTTTCTATTCTGCTCCAGAAACTAATGAATATCCAATGGGCCTTGCTAGTGAAGCTAGAATATTGTGGAATCAGAAGCCATGCTCTTGTTTACATAACATCCTACCTTTCTGACAGACGTCAGGTACGATAAGGTTTCAAGAACTTTATCGTACTTCTTAAAGCCATATATGAATCCTGCCTTTGCTACTTCACCCTACAGATTGTTCCTTTTTCTGACAACTCTAAAGCTGAGGAAATACTTCCTAATATCCCTATGATTCATCTGAGTTTTCAGCTTCAGTTGTGACCCCTTGTTCCTGTATCTCATCTCTGAAACATTCTGACCCTGTCAACCTCCCAATTCCTCTCAGTATTTTATACGTAGTTATCATGTCCTCCTATTACTCCTCTCCTCCAGTGTCGTTAGGTTGAGTTCCCTTAACCTCTCCCCGTAGGACTAATCTTGTTGAGAACTTTTGTACTTTCTCTAATTTCTTGACGTGCTTGACCAGGTGTATGTGTGTACTCACCTATATACTCCCTGTATGTGATTGCAGGGGTCGAGTCACAGCTCCTGGCTGTGTGTGTATGAGCAACCCTCACAATCGTGAGGTAGAGTATTAATGTTGATATTTTCAAGCACGCATGTAATAATAATATTTTAAAAGTATCGGCTGGTATCGCCTGTTTTTTAACCAATACCGATACATGAAAATGGCCGATACCCACAAATACCGATACCTGGGCACATCCTTCATGTGTTACTCCAGCAATGGCGCTCCCTGTGACCTTATTTACTTGGACCTTCTCCTCTCTTCTGCAACATTACAAATTCCTGATGTGTTGCAACGCGAAAGGCCTAGATTATTATTATAATCAAGGGGGAAGCGCTAAACCCGGAGGATTATACAGCGCCTGGGGGGGGGATGTGGAAGGCATTCAGGCTTAATTCGGGGAACTGGAGCACAGATCCAATTCCCTAAATCAAGAGCCCCTCACCAACATCAAGGAACCTTCCTTGAGGGGCGAAAGGCCTAGAGCTATCATTCACTCCCCTGTGGTTGTTTCTTTTGGTACGAAATTATTAATTTTTACATTAACATAAATTAAAAAAATATATATCTTTAAAAGTGTAAGAGAAAATTTTAGAAAGGACTTAATTTTAAATGAGTTCAAATAGTGAAATTCCAAGCGCTTTCGAGAAGTGGACTTTGTGATCCCTCATCCGACTGTCTGGCGACGTTTAATCATGAGGCCATACCGGGTGGGTCCATCTTTTTGAATCACCCTGTATATGTATTGTAAATATATATATATATATATATATATATATATATATATAAATATATATATATATATATATATATATATAATATATATATATTATATATATATTATATATATATGTGTGTGTGTGTGTGTATTTATGTTATTATTATTATTATCACACTGGCCGATTCCCACCAAGGCAGGGTGGCCCGAAAAAGAAAAACTTTCACCATCATTCACTCCATCACTGTCTTGCCAGAAGGGTGCTTTACACTACAGTTTTTAAACTGCAACATTAACACCCTCCTTCAGAGTGCAGGCACTGTACTTCCCATCTCCAGGACTCAAGTCCGGCCTGCCGGTTTCCCTGAACCCCTTCATAAATGTTACTTTGCTCACACTCCAACAGCACGTCAAGTATTAAAAACCATTCGTCTCCATTCACTCCTATCAAACACGCTCACGCATGCCTGCTGGAAGTCCAAGCCCCTCGCACACAAAACCTCCTTTACCCCCTCCCTCCAACCTTTCCTAGGCCGACCCCTATCCCGCCTTCCTTCCACTACAGACTGATACACTCTTGAAGTCATTTTGTTTCGCTCCATTCTCTCTACATGTCCGAACCACCTCAACAACCCTTCCTCAGCCCTCTGGACAACAGTTTTGGTAATCCCGCACCTCCTCCTAACTTCCAAACTACGAATTCTCTGCATTATATTCACACCACACATTGCCCTCAGACATGACATCTCCACTGCCTCCAGCCTTCTCCTCGCTGCAACATTCATCACCCATGCTTCACACCTATATAAGAGTGTTGGTAAAACTATACTCTCATACATTCCCCTCTTTGCCTCCAAGGACAAAGTTCTTTGTCTCCACAGACTCCTAAGTGCACCACTCATCCTTTTCCCCTCATCAATTCTATGATTCACCTCATCTTTCATAGACCCATCCGCTGACACGTCCACTCCCAAATATCTGAATACATTCACCTCCTCCATGCTCTCTCCCTCCAATCTGATATCCAATCTTTCATCACCTAATATTTTTGTTATCCTCATAACCTTACTCTTTCCTGTATTCACTTTTAATTTTCTTCTTTTGCACACCCTACCAAATTCATCCACCAATCTCTGCAACTTCTCTTCAGAATCTCCCAAGAGCACAGTGTCATCAGCAAAGAGCAACTGTATTATGTGTATTATGTATGCATGTATATACGGTGCCCCGTGGCAAAACCTCTCGCTTCACACACTGAGTCCGGGTTCGATTCCCGGGAAGGGTAGAAACATTGAGCGTGTTTCCTTAGACCTGTTGCCCATGTTCACCCATCAGCAAAATGGGTACCTGGGTGTTAGTCGACTGGTGTGGGTCACAACCTGGGACAAAACTGACCTAATTTATCCGGAATGCATAACATGCGGCTTTCTATGTTAGCTAGGCCTGTATACCTTGTACATGTAGATATAAAGATATTATTATTATGTATGACATGGACTTTTAGATGATCATGTGTTGAATGAATCGCAGTTTTTTATTACTTTCCAAATAGTTCATCCTAAATTCTAAACAACTTAACAGTTAAAACTGAACAGTTAAGTTGTTATATTTACATATTATTCAAAAAAAGGTCTTTATATATTCCGCATCATGATGTGAATGTATTTTTAGTTGCTGACCTTTAATATTCTGAGATTAGAGTAATCTTATCTCTTATTGTTTTCCCACGTTGCATTAGTCACTATCTTTAAGATCAAATAAAATTGATACACTGGTAACACTTGCTTATACTTTTGTAGAATCGAAGCTTACGGATTAGGTAGTGTTGAATTCTTTTATAATGTAAGATTAAATGCTTTTAAGGAGGTTCTAAAGCAGACAGCGATTCCCTTTTTTTCCCCAGCTGTTGCTTGGTATGTTGCTCTCCAGTATCTATGACTGGCATTGACAGGCAGACAGGCAGAAGTCTCACGAAGTTGTTAGTTTCGTCCGGTCAGGATCAACTGTACAGGATGTTGGCGTGTGACTACACCAACGTGCTGATCGCTGCCGTCATGATCATGCCCTTCGTCTACGAGTTCAGCCATCGCTTCAGGCTGTACCTTAAGTTCTTCATCTATTACGCTATGGTGATGCTGTGCTCTGTGCTCTTCATCCCCTTCATCATCTGGAGACCCGGGGATGTCAGGAATACTTTGTGAGTTGTTCACTGTGGCTGCTTCTGGGATTGCCATGCCTCGTAGCTACGTCTGTGATGGTTATTCTGTGGTAGATTGTATTTTCATAATAAGTGATGCAGTAAGCTCGGTTGTCTGCCTTCCTTAACCTCTAATAATTTATGCTTATTTTGCATTAAAGCTGATCTCTTGCATAGACCGTTTATATAGTTAGATAATAGCATTGGATTTGTCCAGTATATATGTTCAAACAGTTGTGGTCACTGGTTGGCATTTGGGTATAACAGTATTTTATAAAACGTTCCCAATTTAAAATTGTAATTAGATGTACAGTAGTAGTAGTGGTAACCAGATGTCAAAGGCAGTTTGTTGAGAGACAAGTGGTATTAAATGTCACTGACTTGGTGCATCGTAGTAAATATCTTGCATGAGCCATTAGGGCTTCTGCTGCTCCCTTTATTCTTAAATTAATGGAAGTACCACCAGTACTGTGGAAGTAGCGGCAAGTGCTGTTGTCCCAGCATGGAAGAATTAACTGCCTAACATAACCCACCTAACCCTAATCTGAGATTTACCTCTTACCACTTTTATTAAATGTGGTGAACCCAAGGAAAAGTAAGCATATGGTTTTTATAGATCTAATGTTCACATGATGGCCCCAACAACATTTAAAGATTAAAATAAATTTAGATATGCTATAGGGTAGCTAGTATATTTAATGTTGCCATGTTCTGGAATACTGCACTGTTAGTTGTAAAACCTGAAAATCTTGAGAGAAGACTATGCAGCAGCTGCTGATAATCTTGAATGTGTACAATATTCTGACTCCCCTTACTTTTAGCATTACAAATCTCAAGTATGCTGTCCGCAGATTAAAAGAATTTGCCAGTCACTTTTGATATCGTACAAATAGATGTTGATGCAGCTGGTGTGGTGATACTATAAAGTTCAGGTTAAGGCATTTAAGCACTGAAGAAGACATTTACTAAGGAAATGTATTGCTATGCATGGCTTTTTCAGGACTGAAAAGTAATTTAGCATGGCATGTTTTCTTAGTAAATGTCTTGGTAAGTACATAAGTGTCTTTTACTTTTGAATATATGTTCTCAGTTTCCACGATACCATTTATATAATTGGGCTACAAGGCTTGCAAACATAGTCCAGGTAATATCTTGGAGTTAAATAACTACAGAACTAACTTGTGTGTGAAACTTCTTTTGACTGTTTAATGAGGTATGTTCTAATCACATCTGCACTCTGATTTCCAGCTTCAAAAGTGACATATCTGGACAGTACTATCCATTTCATATACTCTGCTGTATTCTAGCACCTCCCATGAATATAGCAATAATCTACTGTAGATTGTTAATGGTTTCCATGACCTGTAAACAGTGTGACACTTTGCCATTTTAAAAAACACCAGGACATTCTTTGGGCCATAAGCATTCAGTCATTTTGCAAATCCTCAGCACCCTGATACTTTGCTGATTTCATAAGAATATTGGTATCCTTTGCAGATTTCAGTATATGTAATTTTCATCAGCATTTATATATATACAACTCCCTTATTTTGCATAATAATTTGCATGTGCATTTATTTTTCTAATACCATTTTAAATAAAATTCTCACACGTTTAGTGAAATAGGTGTTAAATTTAAACTATAAAAGTGTGAAATCTGAATTTTCTGATAATGGAAACTGAGAGTGGTTAAGTTTGAAAGTGCTGAACTTATCCAGATCCCACAGCATGGAGGTGTACAAAAAACAAAGGCCTTTAATTTTTTTTAGTTTATTTTTTATAAAAGCCTGCAAACATCACCTCATTGTAAATACTTGCCATTCAAAATGACTATTTCCTATCTGCTAGCAAATATTCCATCCATTTACACATACATTACCAGTTATCCCATGTGTAGTCAACTTTGAAAATCAGTCTTGTGTGAGGAGGGAAGTTTGTGAGGCAGTGGATGGAATGAAAGTGAGTAAAGCAGCTGGGATTGATGGGATAAAGATAGAAATGTTAAAAGCATATGGGAATATAGTTTTGGAGTGGTTGCTCTTTTATTTAAATGTATGAAAGAAAGTAAGGTACCTAGGGATTGGCAGAGAGCAAAGGGGACACAAGAGAATGCAAAAATTATAGGGGAATAAGTCTGTTGAGTATGCCTGGCAAAGTATATGGGAGAGTTGTTGTTATTGAAAGAATTAAGAGTAAGATGGAGTAAGATAGCAGATGAACAAGGAGACTTTAGGAAGGGTAGTGTGTGTGTGTGTAGACCGTGTTTATAGTAAAAGATATAGATGAACAGTATCTAGATAAGGGTATAAAGGTTTTTGTTGCTTTTATGGATTATGAAAAGGTGTATGACAGGGTGGATAGGGGGGCAATGTGGCAGATGTTGCAAATGTATGGAATAGGAGGTAGGTTATTGAAAGCAGTGAAGAGATTTTACGAGGATGGTGAGGCTCGGGTTAGAGTATGTAGGAGAGAGGGTGAAATTATTTCCCAGTAAAAGTAGGCCTTAGACAAGGATGTGTCATGTCACCATTAGTTGTTCAATATATTTATAGATGGGGTTGTAAGAGAAGTGATTACTCAAGTGTTGCAAGACATTTGGGGTTAAGAGATAAAGAATCCTACACAGTGGGAGTTGTCACAGTTGCTCTTTGCTGATGACACTGTGCTTTTGGGATTTCTGAAGAGAAGTTGCAGAGGTTGGTGGATGAGTTTGGTAGAGGTATGTAAAAGAAGAAAATTGAAAGTGAATGTAGAAAGAGTAAGGTGATGAGCATAATAAAAAAAATTAGGTAACGAAAGATTGGATATCAGGTTGGAGAGAGAGTATGGATGAGGTGACTGTATTCAGATATTTAGGAGTGGATGTGTCAGCAGATGGGTCTGTGAAAGACGAGGTGAATCATAGAATTGACAAGGGGAAAAAGGCGAGTGGTGCACTGAGGAGTCTGTGGAGACAAAAATCTTTGTCCAGGGAAGCAAAGAGGGGAGTGTATGAGAGTATAGTTATACCAGTGCTCTTATATGGGTGTGAAGCATGGGTGGTGAATGTTGCGACAAGAAGGCTGGAGGCAGCGGAGATGTCATGTCTGAGGGCAATGTGTGGTGTGAATATAATGCAGAGAATTCATAGTTTGGAAATTAGGAAGAGGTGCGGGATTACCAAAACTATTATCCAGAGGGCTGAATAGGGATTGTTTAGATGGTTCAGACATGTAAAGAGGATGGAACAAAATAAAGACCCTGAGAGTGTGTAAATCTTTAGTGGAGGGAAGGTGGTGTAGAGGTCAGCCTAGGAAAGGTTGGAGGGAGGGGTAAAGGAGGTTTTGTGTGCGATGGCTTAGACTTCCAGCAAGCATGCGTGAGCATGTTAGATAGGAGCAAATGGAGATGAATAGTTTTTGTGACTTAACATGCTGTTGGAGTGTGAGCAGGGTAATATTTATGAAGGGACTCAGGGAAACCGGCAGGCCAGACTTTATTCCTGAAGATGGGAAGTACAGTGCCTGCACTCTGAAGGAGGGGTGTTAATGTTGCAGTTTTATAACTGTAGTGTAAGCATGCCTCTGGCAAGACAATGATGGGAAACAGCTGATGAGTTAATAAAAATAAAACCTGCAAACATCACCTCATTGTAAATACTTGCCATTCAAAATGACTATTTCCTATCTACTAGCCAATATTCCATCCACTTATACATTACAGGTCCGCCATCACAAATCCGGCAATCAGTTATTCGGTTCCTTCAGTTATTTGGCACTAATTTCGGCTAGCATAATTTCAAATTTCCAGGGGGAGCCACACCAACCTGCTGGTACTGTTTGGTGGTGCTACTTGCTGCACAAGTCATTCTAATTTTTTTCTCCATTTATTGTTATAACCTGCTTACTTTTAGCTAGTCATGGTTCCAATGAATAAAAAAAAAATGCTTTTCGTTGTGTAAAGCACCTATACAGTACATTGTCCATTAAAGATAAGGTGGCTTTGAAGCTACTGTTGGTTGCTATGAGCTCAGTCTTGTGATGCAGGAGAATATGCTTTATTATTATGTTAATATCAACACTACAGGTTATTGCCTATCACAATTGATCTAATATGACATAATAAACAATATAAATAACGTAAAGCGTGTTAAATACTCCAGAATGAATAATATTTGGCATAATACAGAGCAGTTCGACGGAGGTATGAAGAGGATACGAGACACAAGTACCATTCTCCTATCCCTGTCTTGGAGCTTATATTAGAGAAAACGGAGTGTAGCACAGGGCTAACTGTGATATACACTCATACTGCACCATAAACCTGAAACAAAAAAGCTATTTTCTCTATATAGATTACCACACAGCATGTGTGTCGAGAACCTAGGATAACACAAAAAAGTCAGACAACGTGGCTTATTTCTAGTACCTGGCTTGGGTTAGCCATATATGATATTTGGTAAATATTCGATTTCCAGCCAGGGTAGAAACATTGGGTGTGTTTCTTTACACGTGTTGTCTATGTTCACCCATCAGTAAATGGGTACCTGAGTGTTAGTCGACTGGTGTGGGAGTTATCCTGGAACACTGACCTAATTTGCTTGAAATACTTAGCATAACAAGTGGCTTTCCATATAGTAGTGTCACTGATGTCAGCTGTCTGTATCCCATGTACATGTAGTAAATTATTATTATTATAATTATTTTCTCATTTGTTTGTTGGGTTATCTTACTGAAACTTGGGCAATGTATGATGGAAAGATATTTCTTAATGTACACCAAAAATGAAAGAAATTAGATCATAAATAGCAAAGTTCGCTTCTCAGCCATTAGCGGCCACTCAGCGGTATATTTTTGTATGATTTTTATGGTTATATTCTCGATTTTTTGGTCTCATTTGATAGAATGGAAGATATATTACAGAAATAGATATGATTTTGATTGCTTACATGATGAAAAGTACCTTGAAATTGCGCTCACAGTAGCAGAAAAGTTCTATTCTTTAGCGATGCTAGAGTAAAC